GTCTACATGCCGTTCTGATCTCTAGAAACATTAGTCATGCATTGCGTTAACCTCCAATAATTCATTTTACTGACTTAGATTGTATGTGTCTGAACTCTATTTCAAAGGCTTTGTCATTCAAGCTTCATTAGCCTCTAATGAATTCAGTTTAATTAAATTTTTTCATGGTCCAATAATCATTTATTTCTGTGATTTTAGGGAAAACGATTTTATACACTTTAGATTTCAAAAGTATAACAGACTAGTGTTATAATTCCAGGTTTTTGCTGCTTTAGCTGATTCAGATGCTTGCTGTTCAGCAGAAGCCTTTTAATCTGCTATAATTGAAAATCAGCTGTGTTGAAGCAGGGAAACCTCTCAAACAGGCAGGACAGCGGCTCTCGAGGACCGACTTTGGACATGCCGGCATTAGAGGGTAAATGTGAAAAAGAGAGCAAAGTTATACATCCTGTGACGTAAAACAAGTCTACTTTAAGACACAATTTATCCAGTTCCATAATTCAAACTGAGATCTCTATTCATAGTGAATTCCACTATAATTAAATCAAGTTTTGGCGCCATCATCCTTGATCTAAACCAGTAATGTCCGAGGTAGGTGCTCATGAGCCACTGTCCTGCAGGTTTTAGAGGTTTCCCTGCTTCAGCACAGCTGATTAACAGGGTTTTTCTGAGCTTCAATCATCAGAATCAGCTGTGATGAAGCAGAGCATAATTGAAAACCTGTAGGATAGCGGCCCTCGAGGACTGACTTTGGACAGGGCTGAGCCAAACCCCTAGTTTTGATCTATGAATAAAAATATCAGTCAAGAATTGCAGCATTGATTTTACACCCTTACACAACGAAAACAATATTTGGTGACGATAACAGCAGTGAGAGTCAAAAGGGTCAAGATAACAACCACAAAGTGGATTCCATGTGTGACTGTAACCCCTATATTCTCCATCTGTCAGGACTAAGAAGCCTAACTTTCCTCCCAATAAAAATATGAAGGATGACTACGCAGGACAATGATTGGATGATTTGATGAGACCTGATTTAATTTTTGGGCAGCATATTTTCCTTGGTAGGTATAGGCCAAGGAGGGAAACCCAGAAATCCCTTTCCCCAGCGATACTCTTCTGCTCATTCTGAGGGAATTCCAATGTCTTCTTTGGTGTGAAGGCATATAAAGTCACTGTTATCAGTTATGGGTCCACTATATATACAGATTATATTATATTATTGAACACAATGTTGTTATTCTCAAAGCTGGTCTAATATTCTGTGATACTGAGCCTCATCTGGTCCATCCATGAGTAAAATTGTATACATACGGTAGGTCTAAATGTTAAACAACAGGGTAATCCTCATGACTATGTTGTTTTTAAAACATGAGACATGGTCACTGTACCATACAAGAAACACTTTATCAGAATGATTCACTGATTATTCAGTTATCTACACCCAGAAATGGTTGGTTGCATTATTTACTTACAATTCATATTGTTGTTTCTTGGCTATAAATAAAAGGGAAATCAAGATTATCGGCCAGACTGTAAGGGTATTTTGAGATAAGAACCATGGTAATTGCAGCATGTGAACTGTAAAGGATTACAGAACGAGGGATGATGATGCTGAAAGGGGCTGCAGCCCCAGTTTCTGCAGCAGGAATAATTCACCCATCTTCCACGCTCCTAATTTCCCAGAGTTTAACCAAGTTTTTCACTGATAACGTGTCAGTGATGAGGAACCCCCTGTGGAATGCGTGGGGGATGCAGATCTGATTTCAGGATGACCTTGAGTGTGCCATGGCGCAGACACAGCAAATTTAAAGCTGTGAGAATGTTGAGGAGCGGCAAAGAAGAAAAGAGAAAAATTAAGCTTGTGTGCAATTTCTGTTACATCCATTCAATTTTCATCCCAGCCTGCCTCCGTTTTCCTTAATCAGTTGTATCTTGCATTTAATTTAATCTAGACCAGTGTAATTTTTTCAGTTTGATTTAACTAAATATATATATATTTTTTTGCTAGTTTACCATTAAAAAATGAATTACTCTAATGTAGTAAAGGATTTTGTTGTCCTTTTGTGGTTTTACAGGGTGCATGGAACACCAGAAAAAGAACACCAAAAAAGCCAATCACCCCCCTCACACTTATTTACTCCTTTTACCCCTATTGATTGTGTTCTGCTCATTAGCACTAATTTCCACTTGGTGTCTATTCCATTTGCACAACAGCATGTAAAATTGATCGACAATCAGCGTTTCTTTCTAAGTAGACAGTTTGATTTCACAGAAGTTTATTTAAACAGTGTACATATATATATATATA